ATATGTGTACTCAAGTTACAGCTTGCACGGACGGACGGACAGACAGACAGTTACCTGGATTTCAACTCGTCTCTTCATCCTGATCATTTATATAACTCTATATCTAACTCGATTAGTTTTAGGTGATACAAACAACCGTTAGGTGAACAAAACTATTATACTCTGTAGCAAGAAGTTGCGAGAATATAAAAATAATAATAGTCAACAGGTAAAAAAAAACAAAACTGCAGAGATATAAAAGTTCTTCTAAAACTAAAAAGCGATAGTATGGTAGCAAACTTGTTAGTAAGCTATAATAAGAGAAAAGAGGCAATGTGGAAAATCAAAAGATAAACAAGTAAGGAGAGGCCAAGTTCGGGTGTAACCGCACATTTCATACTCTGCAACTTGCGAGAAACGAAGCCGGCTAAATACTTTCAGGTATTGGCAATATTAAAAGATATAGCGAAAGGATTCAACTTCATTGTTTGCCGAAATGGTGACAAATTAAATTATAATAATAGTATCATATTAACCTATTTTGAGGGTCATAGACTCACTTTGTTATATTACTATACATCCTGAATATCAGTTATATGGGGCAAGTTTCTATCCATTTTAGGCACAAATATACCCTAAATTACTAGAAAAACACGCTCTCTCAGTTGCATTAAAATAACTAGCACATTGGCCGATATATGTGGTATAAAGTCAACTGGAAGTTCGAAAATCTTTTTATTAGGTATATGGACCTAAGAGAAGTATCAATCGGATTCCAACCGTTTTTGACACAAGGGTATATTTATATCAAATACACAATAATATATCTCTCATATTGGCCGATATTTTTAGCAAAAAGTCAGTCATACGCACTGGGGTCCACATATTTAGCGTCTGGATTCTTGTAAAGTTATGGTCCGATTTCGACAATTTTTGGGCGTAAGATGAAATACCTAAAGGACACTATTTTTGCAAAGTTTTATCCGGTTACATTGATTGGCTCTTGATTTGTATACTGGAAAGTAAAGGAATCAGATGTAATTTAAAATTGTGTTATATCTAAAGTAGGCTGGGGTTTCGTCAGATTTGGACTTTTTTTGCACTGTATTGAAGGAATGTTAGAAAAATATTACATACCGAATTTGGTTGAAATCGATCGAGTTGGTCCTGTGATATGTTATTTCACCTAAATGTGAGCGATGCCACGCCCATCATCCAACTTTGACACCGGCTCCTATAAAGCCATCTCGCAGTTTTTAACAAAACCGTTATATGGTATGGATTATAACCGATTTCATCTATTTTCACACTGTCGGCAAGGGTTCTTATAGAATTTGTCGTAAGCGAATTTGGTTATTATAACTTCAGTGGTTTAGGAGATATGTGCATTAAATCTATTAAAGGACGGGGCCACGCCCATTTTTTCAAAACTTTTCGTTGACAAGAAAATTGCATTGCAATCCCCTCTACCTAAATACATTTTTATATCTGAATTTAGTGCTTAGTTATGGCATTTTATAGGTTTCCGATTAATGGCGTTTTGTGGGTCCGACTACGCCGATCTACGAACTGATCCTCACTTTTTTGCCAAGGAATACGTGTTTCATTAAGATATCTTCATTTTTACTCAAGTAACTTGGAATTCAACTCGTCTCGTCATCCTGATCAATTATACATACAAAACTAAATTTTTCGAATTTACAATATTTTTGCTTTGACATTTTTTAGGTGATAAGGTTTCAGACGTCCTTTGTTTCAGTTTCTCCTACTCAGATCAGCTACAAGACTTACCCATATTTCTTCTATTGCGTAGCCTTTGCAACGTTAGTTGAAAACCAATTATACGCCTTAGCTACTTTCAAACAATTTATGTTAATTACATTATTCAAAATGAAGAAGAGTTGTATTTTTATACTCTCGCAACCTGTTGCTACAGAGTATAATAGTTTTGTTCACCTAACGGTTGTTTGTATCACCTAAAACTAATCGAGTTAGATATAGGGTTATATATATATAACTTATCAGGATGAAGAGACGAGTTGAAATCCGGGTGACTGTCTGTCCGTCCGTCCGTCCGTGCAAGCTCTAACTTGAGTTAAAATTGAGATATCTTTATGAAACTTGGTAGACATGTTTCTTGGTACCGTGAGACGGTTGGTATTGCAGATGGGCGTAATCGGACCACTGCCACGCCCACAAAACGCCATTAAACAAATAACTTGCCATAACTAAGCTCCGCAATAAGATACAATACTGTTATTTGGTACACAGGATCACATTAGAGAGGGGCATCTGCAGTTAAAATTCTTTTTTAAAAAGTGGGCGTGGTCCCGCCTCTAATAGGTTTAATGTGCATATCTCCTAAACCGCTAATGCTATAATAACAAAATTCACTAGAAGCAAATGTTTTTAGCACTTCTATTGACGGTGTGAAATCGGGTGGCAACTCCGCCCACTCCCTATATAACGGTACTGTTAAAAACTACTAAAAGCGCGATAAATCAAGCACTAAACACGCCAGAGGCATTAAATTTTGTCTTTGCAGATGGTATAAGATGACTTTATAGGAACCGCGTTCAAAATTAGTCAGTGGGCGTGGCACCGCTCATCTGTACTGTGACTGTATCGGGATAAAACGTTGCGTGAATAATGCGATTAAAGTATGCCACCTTGTGGCCAAAAATTGTCTAAATCGAACCAAAACTGTTTAAGCCCCTAAGTACTAAATATGTGGACCCCAGTGCCTATACTTGACCTTCTACCGAAAATATCAGTCAATCCACAAAGAAATCTCAAACGAGTATACTATTTGACTTTGCGAGAGTATAAAATGTTCGGTTACATCCGAACTTAGCCCTTCCTTACTTGTTGAAAATGTTTTTACTCGGTAACGGCTGTGGCCGTGTTTTTTTTTTTAAAAGTGTTTTTCTGGAAAATACATTTTGTAAACTGGCGACCACGATTTCTCAAAAACGGTTTATCGATTGCTTTAATATTTTAATGGTGGATTCATTACACGTGTGGCTATCGCTCGAACTAGCATATTTTAAAAATATTGAAGCGTTTTTTTTCATAAAAAATTTGTTGCAAAATATTATGAAATTTTGGGCTTTAATGTTTAAAAGCATTTAAAAATTTAATCTTCAAGATATGTAGAATATCCTAGTTTCGGCAGTAGCCATATACCTACAGATTAACATGTTATTTTTTTTTATACTCTCACAACATGTTCGTACAGAGTATAATAGATTTGTTCATCTAACGGTTATTTGTACTAATCGAGTTAGATATAAGGTTATATATTGTATATATAAATGATCAGAATGAAGAGACGAGTTGAAATCCGGGTGACTGTCTATCCCTTGATCACTAAACACGCCAGAGACATTAAATTTTATCTTTGGGATGGTATAAAATGACTTTATAGGAACCGCGTTCCAAATGAGACAGTGGGCGTGGCACCGCTCACTTTTAAGTAAAACCCCATATCTTGGGATCTGCTTAACCGGTTTCAACCAAATTCGGTACATAACATTATTCTCATATTTCTATATTTTAGTGCGAAGATCGGCGAAATCGGATTACAACTACGCCTATTTCCCATATAACACCATTTTAAATCTATCTGATTCTTCACTTTCCAGTATGCAAATCAAGCAACAATGATGGTAAAACTTTGCGTGAATAATGTGTTTAAAGTATGCCACTTGTGACCAAAAATTATCGAAATCAAAACTGTTCAAGCCCTAGGTACTGAATATGTGGACCCCAGTGCCTATAGTTGACTTTTTACCGAAAATATCGGTCAATGTGTAAAATATATAATTGAAAATCATATAATAAAATAAATAAATGAAACTCTCGATAATATATTGTTTTTGATGTCAAAAAATGGGTTGAATCGGATCAATACTTCCTATAGCCCTCATATACCTAATATAAGATTTTTGAACTTCCGGGTGACTTTATACCGCATATATCGGTAAATATGTGAGTTATCTCAATGAAAATGAGAGAGCGTGTTTTACTCAAAACAAGGTCTCTTTGTGCCTAAAATGGATGAAATCAGGTGAAAATTTTATCTAGCCCCCATGTAACTAATATCAGGATTTTCGAACATTCGTCTGATCTACTCCATATGATTGGTGATGGTATGTGAGGCACCTTGACCCTATGTTAGTAACCGGGGACCGCGGTTTTTTAGAAAATTTTTTTTTTAATAAAATAAACAAAATAATAATAATACTCAGATCGTGGGTAGCCCGGTACCCGGATGCTAAAAGACGTTGGTAAAGTTGGTTACTAACAGAAGGGTTAAAATATATAAAGAAATCTCAAACGAGTATGCCATTTGACTATGCGAGAGTATAAAATGTTCGGTTACATCCGAACTTAGCCCTTCCTTACTTGTTTGATGTTAGGTTAGTCATTCTGCTGGAATCATAGACGCCGTTTGTCCACCTTTTTCAACATGGGCGTCATTAGACTGATAAATTTTGCTTTTAACAAAATATTTTTACTTAAAAAAATTCAAAATTACAGCTAAAGGCTTAAAAAATATATAGCAAAAAACTGTGTTTTTCATTTCACTATGAAAACTTCCGAAAAAAAATTTAAAAAACGGCCGTCACACGGGATGACCTCCTTAAGACTTTACATATATTTATTGTTGGTGGTATATTACAATTTTCTATGTATATATTTTTTGACTACAATAGTTTTTTACATGGTAAATTTTGAAAAAAGCCAGTAACATAGTTCGGATGCAAAACTTTCTGTTATGTGAACACTGCATTAATAATTTAAGCCCATCGGTCGAATAACACGCAATCCATTGGAAATCGGACTACTGCGACGTCAGTTAAATGTTCCATTAATAAAAGAAATATTCTTATTTCAAATAAACGCAATACATATCGACAAATTGTCGTTACATAATTAATTACATAATTTGTTTTGCAATTAAGGAATTAGAGTTTAGCGTTATAAGAGAATATCTACATATGTAACATGAATATTACCGCTTGTATTGTTGGTTACTGCTCCCCTATAAAATGCTGCACTGTTTTAACAATTCTCAGTGTAATGTCACTTGCTTTTGTAACTGTAGTGGATAAGGTGTTTTGAGTAGTGACTGCTGGCTTATTTAAGTCACAAAAACACAAAAAATTTAGGCAATTGTGATTGAATTGAATATGCACGATATAAGTATGTATGTATGAATTTAAAAGCGATGCAAAACTTTCAGTGATTGACCTAATAAAACTGTACTAATACCAGCTTATAGTATAATTTTCATTCACGCTTTTACAGACTTTTGCTTAACGCTTTGATAACTTTTGCCATTACAGCTTTAACAATTTACACAATAGCGTTGCGTTATCACTTTTTGTTAAATATGATGTATGCTGCATTTAAAAAGCACTAAATTGTTTAATTCCATGCCTTTAAAAACTTGCTTATCTTTGTTGACTTTTAACCAACACATCCATCAGCACTTTTAAAAATCGCACTTTATTTTTAGCACTTGACTATTTTTCAATTTGAGGCATATGTTTATGAATTTATTTAAGCATACATACATATACACTTTTGTCTCTTCTTTAACAATAAATCTGCACGCACCAAAAAACACCACAAAACCTAAGTGACTTTGTACACTTGACAATAAAATTCCTGGTTTCCGCAGAACTTGGCGAGCACCATTCAAAGACTAATGTTTGCCACCGTCCAATGTCTCACAGCTGCTTAAAAGTTGTTGCAACCGTATTCGCTGAGTGCTGAATGCATTACATAGTATTGGAGATACATACATCCAATGATAACTCCACTTTTACACACAGATTCTTTTGTCACCCAAACCGGTTTATTGATGGCGAGGGGACGACGAGGAAAGACGAAGGGACCGTGCCACTCGTGTTCGGGTGGCACGCTTTGTGTTCTTGTTCATAATAGCTCGCTACTACCCTTTTCAGCATTCCTTTTCACTTTCAAATTCTTTGAATGGTTGCACACATTTGAATTCTGTTATCTATTTTTTGTATGTAATATGCAAATATGTATGCATAGAATAATAGAAATATTTTCAAAAATTGTAAATAAGGAGAAAATTAAGATATAGATTATGGAGTAAAGAAATTATGAATTTTTAATAATTAAAGATTAGGAAATTCCTGTTATAAATTTGGCCTTGAAAATATTAGTAGCGGATATTCAAAACATTCTGGTGGATTAGGGAATTCCCGTCTTAAGTATTTCTTTGAAACTATTAAGCAGGTAGGTATTATTCATGTTGTTCTACCATATTCATGGTAATTCATTGCAAGCAAAATGTGTGACCAACATCTCAACATAAAAATGAAATGCAACACGTTCTAAGTGTTGCGCAGTCGAACCGCACAAATATTAACGAAAATTTTGTGAAAAGGAATGCAGAAAACCTAGAATCGAGTTGCTGCACTCTTTTTGCTCGTGTGAATGCACAGAGCGACACCAAAAGAGAATTTGACGAAAACGAGGGTCAAAAGAGTCTGTTTGTAAAAACCGTCTAAGTATGTATAATATAACGCTTTTCTATAAACTGTTAAATGGGTTTGAGATGTTGGTGTGAGCATTAAACGGAGAGAGAGTGCATGCGATATACCGGACCGACGTTATTTTTTCATTTTATACAGTTGTTGCGAGTGCACAATGCTCACTGAAGTAAGACTTGAGAGAGTTTTCAGTTTTTTGTTTGTTCGTCTTGTTGTAATTTTTACTGCTTTAAAATATGGAACTTATTTAATTTTTTTAAGATTATATTTGATATTAAGTTTACAAGTTTTGTTTATAAGCAAGGGATTGGACTAGTATAAACAAACTATGTGGTACGGATATAAAACCACAGTGAAAGCAAATGTTTAGAGGTAATATTTTAATCTGAAAAATCCTTCTAAGATATACACAAACGCATATTTTCCATGCAAGCGTTTAAAGTAGATAATGCGTGTTCTTACATATATTGTACATACATATATTGTACATACATATATTATACATACATATATTGTACATACATATGTATGTATATGCACAGATGTATCAAATTTAAATATTGTACCTGGTCATGAATATATTTTCCTATAATCCATATAAATATGTATACCCACATACATAATATGATATGTAGTATGTATTTGGTCGGCATTGAGTAGAACGGTGCTAGAATTTAATTTAGTATCAAAAATTCTACATGGCCTTTTATTAATAAAGGATTATGGTATGGAGTATACAGAAGATGTTATGCTTTATTACAGCTGGTAGGTACATAAATACACATGCAGTTTGTCACTCTGTATACACATAGATAGATATATGTATGTACCTACATAGCTACGCCATCAAACAGACGAAATCAATGCTCACAGTGCCTAGTGCCGTTTCACACAGGGATCCAAAAGAGTCTCATACCAGTTTATTGTGGGCGAGGGGACGACGAGGAAAGACGAAGGGACCGTGCCACTCGTGTTCGGTTGGAACGCTTTGTGTTCTTGTTCGTAACAGCTCGCTGCTACCCTTTTCAGCATTCCTTTTCACTTTCAAATTCTTTGAATGGTTGCAAGAGCGCTCGGTTTCAAATGAATTCGATCGCAAATTTGAGTTCTGTTATCTATTTTTGTATGTAATATGCAAATACGTATGCATAGAATAATAGAAATATTATGACAAATTGTAAATAAGGAGAAAATTAAGATATAGATTATGGAGTAAAGAAATTATGAATTTTTAATACGGAGTAAAGAAATAATGAGTTTTTAATACTTAAAGATTAGGAAATTCCTATTATAAATTTGGTCTTGAAAATATTAGTTGCGGATATTCAATACATTCTTGTGGATTAGGGAATTCCCGTCTTTAGTATTTCTTTGAAACTATTTAGCGGGTAGGTACTTGTATTATGCATATTGTTCTACCATATTCATGGTAATTCATTGCAAGCAAAATGTGTGACCATCATCTCAACATACAAATGAAATACGCAGCACGCAGTGTTGCGTAGTCGAACCGCACAAATATTTACGAAAATTTTGTGAAAAGGAATGCAGAAAAACTAGACTCGAGTTGCTGGACTCTTTTTGACCGTGTGAATGCCCAGAGCGACACCAAAAGAAAATTTGAAAAAACTCAGACTCTTTTGAATCTCTGTCTGAAACGGCACCTAGCATTACTGAATAAGTATTTGTAAATTTTGTAGTTGTCGACTAAGAATGATAAGCGGCCTTTACACGGTCATTTTTGTATGCAAACATGGTATGGCAAAAAAAAACTGGTTTTCGTTTAAACGGTCGAACATGCAATCATACTTTATTTCTCTGTTATTTGTGAACGAAGCAAGATCAAGGATGAAATGACAAGGATGACATGAAGAGACTCTCTCATTTTCGCTGATTTTTCTGTTATTATCTTTCCCTGATTATTAAAATCAGGGAAATTCGAACAGCTGATGTCAAAAAAGGCGGGATGCCAGAAATAAACCCGCTAAAAATAGATAACAAAAGCAGTGCGAAACGAAATTTCAGGGAACGACACAAATACATTTGAATAACGTGCAACTAAATTTTATTTGTTAATTTAATTTAAAACGTTCATTATAAAACCATGATATTTTATTATGACTTGTATTGTTTCTTTGTTATAAGTTTTTTTTATTTATATGTTTTTTTTTATATTATATGATTTTTTTTTTAATTTATAATCCAGCCATCCAGAACGCTTAGATAAATTTCAAAGAAGTCCTTCCACAGTTCTTCGTTTATCCGTGACGTCATTACGCTTCAATGTTTGCTTACGACTGAAAAAATATACTGCGTGCATGATGCAAGCGTTTACACCATAAAATATGTTCATAACAACATCATGTTTTTAAAAATTTTTAAAAACCATCGCACATGTATGACAAACACGAATTTATTATGTTTACACGCTCATTCTTCTCATCACGCCGCACATGCTTGCAAACATGAATGACCGTGTAAAGGCCGCTATAGAATACAAGACAATTGCTACATAAACAAATTGTATTATGCCGCCATCTTTTGATTTATTTCACGAATTAACAAAAGTGTTTACGTTTTTATTTACAACTTACATGCTGTTCTATGCTCCTTCTTCTCAACTCAAAAGAATTACGTCACAAGATGGCGGTTGTCGTAATCTTGTATGTTATCATTTCTGTTATCCGACCATAAAATTTGTTTTAATGAAGCAATTTCCAAATCTTTTTCTTCTATATTTCTATATTATGGGTCAATACATTTCTCAACATATTGAAATATTTTGATATTCACACTTTTACATAGCCCTATCAGATGCATTGGCATTAAACATTTTATTCATGGTCTTCCTCTCATCAAGTGTATGGCATTCTGATATAATTAAAAATTATTCGCATTTATTTGTCTGACCGTAGCAGTATTGTTGGGTGCATAACGTGTTCTTAGTGTCTTCAAAATTTCGGCTAGCATTTTTTTTTACACTTTTCAATATTTTTCGAAGATCATTTCTTCTCATACTGGACAGTCGATAAAGGTCTTGACTATGTACAACTGGTGTCAAATTCTGTTCAGAGTTGCTACATAGCCTAAGTAGTAGTAATGATAACTTTTATATTGATATCTTCCTTCGTTTGAGTTATCTATTGTTAAGTAAAACAAGAAAAAAACGTTAACCTCTGTTGCACCGAGTCTATAATACTCTTCATACCCATATGGCAGGTATATGCTATAGTAGTCCAATCGATTCCGCCAAAGGGGTTTTTTGGGAGAAAAGGCCGTGTTCAAAACTTCAGATCGATATCTTCCAAATTGAGGAACTAGTTCGCCTATATACATCGCTTAATCGACTCAGCTCGCCATCTTTTATATACATACATATTTATTTCATAGGGTGTTAAAAACTTCGTCGCAAACTTAATATACCTTATTCAGGGTATAATAACCTATAATGTCCAATTAAATATTAAATTCCCATGAGAAACTAATATATGTATAGTGTAATTTTTGCTAATTTTGAAGTTTTTAAATAAAAACATATATGTATAAAAGTCAGTTTACTGAGGGTCGATACATTGCATCTCAAACACGTGGCCGGACGACATTACATGGTGCTGTAGTATTGCCTCTTAATCAAGTGTAAACGTTCTCATTCAATTAAACACAAGTAGTAAAAATTTTCTTTACTTGTGAAGGTTTTTCTTCCAGCTAATTCCAGGTCATTAATGCCAGTGACACCGTCAAGGATGAAATTATGCGAGACTCTTTGAATCGAGAGAGAGCTGTCAAAACCCACATTTTTTATAACATTTGCCAACCATGCCACTGTCGAAAGAAAATGGATTGGGTATTATAAAAAAACTTTTGGGTATTTTGTATTTCAATATTATTTTTAGGTGCTCCGTCCCCGAGTAGGCCTTTATAACGCATATACATCCCTATATACGTATATTTATATTATAAAATTTTTTAAAAATCATATAACATAAAAAAAATTGCATATAAATAAAAAAAAATTATAACAAAGAAACAAAACAAGTCATAATAAAAGATCATGGTTTTATAATGAACGTTTTAAATTAAATTAACAAATACAATTTAGTTGCACGTTATTCAAATGTATTTGTGTCGTTCCTTGAAATTTTGTTTCGCACTGCTTTTGTTAGTTATTTTTAGCTGGTTTGTTTCTGGCATCCCGCCTTTTTTCAGCTGTTCGAAATTCCCTGATTTTAATAATCAGGGAAAGAGAATAACAGAAAAATCAGCGAAAATGAGAGAGTCTCGCATC